TGTGTGTGTGTGTGTGTGTGTGTGTGTTCCTCAGTCTGCTGAGCTCTGCCATAGGCAAAAGAGGGCCCCTGGAGCCAGAGGAGGAAGTTGACTCCAGAATGAGCCAGGGATCATGGCCCCTCACACCTGTGCCTTACAATGGTGGTTAAATGGCAGCAGCAGCATTTCATGTCAGCGGTGATCTAGTGGTGCTTAAAAGAAGTACTGCCTTCCAAGCTTATGACGAGGCATGGAATGTCTCCTGTGTCAGAGCATGTTCACTTTCCAGTCCAATGAGAAGTGGGCCAGGAAGGTTGGAGAAATAGATGTGTCCTGGGTCTGATGCGGGGCTCTGCCACCTGGGAGCTGCACAACCTGGCTGTCCTACCTCTCGGGGTCTTGCTCCGCCCTCTCAATTGTGGTGATAGGGCTCATCTCACGGCTCTGCACACAGCGTGCCAAGCACTAGGTTGGCACTCCCTGAACCTCAGTCGTGGCAGGCAGATCATGGCACCCCAGGAGTTGTGTTGATCGGGCTGAACAGACTCCTCTGTATAGAGCTGTGTCATGGTATTTTTTATTTTATTGTCCACTATCGATTATTTTTGTGATTCTTGAAGAAGAGATAAATGGCTGACAAGTTCTCCTGATTGTTTGTTTGCTTTTTTGTTTGTTTGTTTGTTTGTTTTTTCACTTCCTCTCCCGGCTCCCTCGTAATGTTTCCGGAAGCATCCTTACAGTCTTAGTCATGGTTTTGAAGATGCCATCATGCCCTTCTTTTTCAAAAGAATTCCGACTGTGCATGCTTTGGCCTTTGTGGGGGATGTGCTGCCCAGGATGAGGCGGAGGAGGGGAGGATGACCTTAGATCCACTGTGCTCCTCACCACTTCACCCGCATGCCTGGGGATGCCTTTGGGAACACACACACACACACACACACACACACACACACACACACACACTCACTCACAGAAGAGCTAGAATGGCCTGGAAGGGCTTTGGCAATCACCTAGTCCCTGGGGACCCAGCTGAAGAAACTGCAGACAGAAAGAATGAAGGCCTCACCCGTAACATGGGCTGGCAGAGCCAGGCTAGATGCCAAGCTCCCAGAGTCCAGACCTTCTGGATTCCAGACTTTTCCTAACTAGATGGCATAAGACGCCGGTGGTCTGGAGAGCATGCCAGCATCCTGGGACCGCTGTCCTGCACTGCGGTGGCCACCAGGGACACCGTCCTGTGGGCCAAGTGAGCACACACCCTCCTATCCAGAGTCTGGAGTTGATCCGCTCCCCGATGGAGCTTCAAAGCCCCCGGTGTGTGAACCTCATGGCCTAAGTAGAAGGGCCGAGGTTCGATGCAGCAGCTCAGAGCCAGGAAGGATGAAAACCCCCTCCACACACAAGACATGTTTGCACAGAGGGCATCTTGGAGAGCGAGTACCAGACTAACCAGCTTGACCTCTAATGGCGGCTGTACCGCTCATCCTCGGGAAGCTGTTTGAAGAGCAGACGGGCTGGGGACAGCCCTCTCACATACCCCACTTACCTCATCAGGTCAAGAAGGCTCAGACCCCAGGGCCTGGCCCTCCATCCCCACCCCACCCCATAAACCATGATCTCAGTCTTTCAAGACATTAAAACGTGCCCCTCCCTGTGGAGAGCCCGGGCCCTCTGCTCTGTACCACCTGCCTGCAGGGTACATACAGGTTGGACTCTGCCTGAGAAGCTTGGGAGGGAGCAAGTTTTCCAGCCAGCCAGCCTCCAGAAAGAGAGCTCACAAACTCTGCCCTAGAAATGATGGGAAAGAAGCACTTCCAGGCCCCCGTACTGCCACTCCTGCCCAAGCTCTGCTGGACCCTATTGCACCCCCAGCCCACCTGGGGCTGCTTTTTGACTTGGGGCTTCTCAGCAACCCCAGCGAGCAGCAAGGCAGGCCAGGCTGAAAGCCACATAAGCCAATGGAATGCTTGGCACTCAAAGTGCCGAGGCAGCACGGGGCAGGAAGCACACAGAGTCTGTTCCCAGCGATCTGCTTATTCATAGAGAGGACGGTCCAGGGGGACCGGGACAGAGCAGGGGCCCAGGGAGGGAGGAGGCACGCTGGGGTTGGCTGTCCAAGCAGCAGAGGGCACGTCCTAAAGGCCCGCTCAGCTCTCTAGCTTGCATCCTCCCATGCCTGTGTCCCCAGCTGGCTGGGGGCATTCACACGGAAGGGACGTTCACTTCCTCAGAGGTTGCTCAACTGTGAGGTGCAGGATGCTAGCACTGGGTACTGGCCCCTAAAAAGCAAGACCACTATGAACCTTTTTTACTCGTAAACACTGGCTGGAAAGGGAGGGTACATACAGATGTGGGCTTGAGGCTCTGACGTAACTTCTCTGCAAGACTCAACTCTTATTTTTCTTTCTTTTGCAATTTCACACACTGTTTTTGCTTTCTGAACATGAAGTGTGTGTGTGTGTGTGTGTGTGTGTGTGTGTGTGTGTGTGTGTGTTTTGGCCAGACACACAACACTGTGGCCCTGCCAGCACAGCGTGTACCCGAGCGGTCTGAGTTCTCCCAGATGCCCTGGGCTCTTGCCGGGGCACCATGTCTCCCAGTGCTGAAATCAGGCCACGCCAAGTGGGAGCCAGGAGGGGAGCAGGGAGAACGAGTCTGGGTTTTCTCCCCAAGCTTTCATGCTTTCTGCTCTCCGGCTGCAGCCTGGAGGAGCCCCAGAACTAAGCCATCGGAGGAGAGAACGTGCAACTCATGCTAAGCAGGGCCTGTCCAGCTAGAGTGGTAGGTGGGCACTGGGAGTCGGAGAAAGGATGGACAGCATGAACTGTGTGCTAGCACCAGGGTGTACCCCAGCACAAGGCGAAGGAGCCCCTGGGGAGAGAAGAGAGGGGGATGTTTGAAGACTTGCAGGATCCTTTTCATTCATCAGTTACTTGTGCAGTGAACCTTTACTGGGTACCAACTTCGTGCTGAGCAAAATGCTCATGTCTCCTACATCCTGCTACACACACACACGCACAAACACTACACAAACACATAGAACATACACATATACACACCACACGCACACACACATACTACATACACACACAGAACACACACAAGCACATAACACACACACACACAATACTGGTGTTTTGGCCTCAAACTCTCTAGGCCCTGCTCTTCCCTCTGCCTGGGCCTTTCTAACCCCTGCTTCTCTTTGTCGAGCTATGTCCTACTCATTCTACAGATCCGCTTTTATTTCTTCCATGGACTGTTGGTGTAGTGATTATGCGTTGAGCTGCTAACTGTAAGGTCAGCAGTTCAAAACTGCCAGCTGCTTTTCAGGATAAAGACGAGGTTTTCTACACCTGTAAAGAGTTAGTGTGAGAAACTCAGAGTAGCAGTCCTAGGCTGTGCTATGGGGTTGCTGAGAGTTAGCATAGACGAGAAGACAGTGAGTTTGTCTGGGGGTGTATTAGTCTGGGTACTTTGGAGAAACAAATACACAGCAACTCAT